TCCAGAAATCTCTCTCTGGGCTTCAGATCAGGCCACTGCTGGGAAAAGACTGACAGCTACATGGACCCACAGGCAACAGGGAGGAGGGGTTCTTTCTGAGCTATAAGATCTAGCTTTGGACTTCCAGCCTTTTTCCTTAAGGCTGCCCACCAAATACTGGCTAAGCAATGTGCCACCCAAAATAGTAAGCATGGAGGGGATTTATTAGATGGACAGTTCTTACCTTTAAAATTGGGCCTAATCCTGGCATCATATCCAGATGTCCGTCCCATAAGCTTATCCAAGAAATCAGAGGGGGACATGGGCTGGGACCCTTTGGGCCCAGATTTGACATCCTCTTTTGCCAAAGCCACACTGGACAGGAGAAGAAAAGTTTGAGGATAGTTGCTTTCGACATTTATCACAGAATATGCTTTCCCATCTCCACCCCCCCCTTTGGTAAATCTGCCCATTGGTCAGGAAGGTCAGAGAGAATGGGTCTCTGGTGTACTAAACAAGTAGACAAACATTATGAGCCATCATGGCTGCCCAACAATCGTCCTGGGAAATGGCCTTCACTTAGATTATATGTTTTTACTCTTAATTCTCAGTAACATAGTTAGGACTGTTATTTCCATTTTACAGTTGAGAAAACAGACTTGAAAGGTACGTTACCTGTCCAAAGCCTCAGAACTTCTGAGTGACACAGTCAGTACTCAAACACCAGACTAAGAACCTTTTTAGTGTTCTCTTCTTGAAGGCGCTTTGAAAGCATTCAAAGAAGAATGGCAGCTTACCCAGCGTGCTTAGCCAAGGATAGGAGGGGATTTAGGACAAACAGTTTCTCTGAGAACTGGTATCAGTTGCTTGGGCTTTCTGTAAGATTTTCAGGACTTAGAACCCCGCTACTGTTAGGGTGGGCTTGGTTTGTGCCATTTCTTGTCTTCTTTTTTGCATACCAAGAGGCTACATTTAAGTTTGGGGTCATGGCTACTACAGGCAGGTGATTATGGTAATTAAGCAGGGATCTATAGACATGGGAGAGTTTCCCAACAGAGTGATCATACTGAGGTAAACTCCCATCTTTCTCTACCGAACATCTTGATTTGGGGGAAGATGTCAGTATGTTTTGGCTTGGCATAGAACCTAGCCTCTTTGCTTTTGTCAGTTTTTCTCCTAAGAGAGCCAAGGAGATGGATCAGTGAATAAAATGCTTGTTGCACAAGCACAAGGAACAGCATTCAGATCCTCAGCACCCAGGTAAAAATCTGGTGGACATGGTAACACACTTGTACTCCTACCACTGGGGAGTCTAACTCTCCCGTGGCAAGGTAGATGGCTAGATGTGCTGAAATTGGCTAGATATGGGTTCAGCAAATGACCCTGCCTCAATATATAAGGTAAAGAATGATTGAAGAAGACACCTGACATCAACCTCAGGTGGCCACACATATATGCACACATGCATGCCAGTGTGCACCTACATGCATTTGTGCCCACATGTAGGCAAACACTTGTACACACATACATACAAGTTTCCTCTTAGGAACAGAAAAGTCCCTTTCACATACTTATTTACCAGTGTAGTAGCCAACACATAGATGAGCACCAGGGACTCAGCAAAGCCTGAGATCTTAGGAATGAACTCAGGCCAGAATCCTGTCTAGAGCAGGTACTGCCTTGCTGTATCTTGCAGTCATCACTGTGCCATCTCCACAGCTGCCATCTCCACAGCTGCCATGACTGCTGCACTGTGGGACTGAGCAGCGGGATGACAGCTGCCTTTCTGCATCGTAGTCTCCTTTAAGCCAGCGGCCCCCTTAACCCAATGAGTCTGTATTCTGATCAGTGACCAGTAGAATTATTAAAGGAGCTAAGGCACCACAAGCCTTATCTAGGTTAATTCTCACACCGGTCCTCCCTGATTATCTCTGTATCCTTGGGACATTGGTTCTAGGACCCCTTTGTAGATAATCAGATTTTCAAATGCTTAAATCTTTTATATAAATTGGTATAGTCTTTTATAGTCTTGGCATATAGCGTGTGCTCATCTTCCTGCATACTAGTCAATCATTTCTTGGTTCTAACACCTAGTGCACTGAAATGTTATACATGCAGTTGTTTAGGAAATAAGGACAAGGAAAATCCAAATATGACCAGCACAAGTGCTATTGGATATTTTGTGTCTATGATGCTTGAATCTGAAGATATGGAACTAATGGATATGAAGAACAGACTGTATATAGATAAGGAGATGGGGGACCAATAAGGTGAAGGTGAAGTGGCTTCAGGGGCCTGAAGTTAGTGAATGGTACAGCCAAAATTCAAAGCCAGTAACTTCAAGACTCAATGTGTCTATCATAGTACTATCACAAGGAAAGTATCCCAGGATGATCTATCAAAGAATCAAAGTGAGAAACAGTGAAGACCTGCCCCACTGTGATTCCTAGAGTTCTGCCTTGAATCCCCAAAGCAGGTGGAGTCCCTTGCCCTGGGGACAGAGGCCACCCTGGCCCCAGGAGTAGCCATGGCATGTGGCTTAAGCAGGCTGGGGAAATCCAAGGAGGTTGGTGGTGATGCTGGGGCAGACAAAAGTCTGTGGGTTCACCACAGGATGTCCACACTAGCCAGGTGGTTCTTCTGCTGCTGTTGTCGCTGCTGTTGGCCACCTGCCTGCTGGGAAGCCATATGGCCCTGCTACAGAGCAGCCAGACCTCCCTACTGTCCTCAGCCCCACTCAAGTCACCTCTTCTCTAGTCCCTGTCCTAGAACTCTAGGATAGGCTGTGAATCTTTGTTTTCTCTTTAGTCCCCAAACCTGTTTTGGTTCCCCACCTTCTGAGATTTTCTTGTCTAAGGAAACAAGAAACCACTGTATCCACTTTCCTGCCCCTGAGAAGTTCCAAACACTAACAGGACCTAGAAAGATCCAGAACTAACGATCATTTAGGGCCCTTGGTGGTATGAGGAGAGAACTTTGCTCTAGCTACTGGGTACTTGAGCAACCCTGAACATGTCACTACCCTTCTCTAGGCTTCAGTTTCCATATGTACAGCTAATAGCTTAAACTTAGGACTCTCTAAGAGCCCCCTTCCTCTAATTCCATGCACTTTATAAGCACACATGGTACTTCTACCACTTGTTCTTGGAACTTGAGGCGGTCTCCCCTCTACAAGGGTCAACTCAGTGACCCCTCTGTGTCTGTTATATCTGCATCCTAACAACTCCCACTAAGTGGCCATTCCATTCTGAGCTGCTTTTCACTTCTAAGCATTCTGTCCCACTTTGCACCCCTTCCTGCCTGCCATCCAGTGTGTCCACAAGCAATGGGGCAGAACGTGCCTCAGAAGCAAGATGCTTTGGGACACTCTTTGGGTTAAGTGGAAGAAGACACTGGTCTGGCATTCACTCTTGCCACTTTGAAGGCCACCAGTATAGCCAGGCCTTAGTGTCTTTTCTCATCAGTGTACCCTGTCAACCTACACTAGCTCTTGTTATAATGAGAAGGGGCAAATGGTCAGGGGGCGTTTACAAGGATCCCCAAGAATTCCTCACTTACAAACCCAGGAAATAACTGCTACCTGGCTCCTCTAACAGGACAGTGAGCAGCCATGTATACAAGGGCTGCAGAAAGCTAAGGTTCAGGCAGCTCGGCTCCATCCTGCTGTGGTCCTGTAGCAAACCTATGCCACCTGCAGCCTCTTTGGCAGGCATCTGACATATGTTTCTCTCATTTTAGGGATTCAGCTGGTAGGGAGAAAGGGTTCAATTACAGGACAAATGACCTCTATTTTAGACTCAGCCACCTAGCCCCTACCCAGACCCATGCAATTCAATTATACAGAAGCTCCTCTACGAACACTGGGACCCTGTATCTGTATTGGACAGCTCCTGGGTCCTGACTAAGGAGGGTGTGTCCTTCCCCCGAAGCCCTCCAGACTGTTTTTTTTTTTTTTGCAAACTTAGAAGAAACTGTGCCAGCTGCCCCATCTGTTACCATCAGCCCCCAGCCAGTGTTTGCATGCACCTCCTCACCCCACTGAGCTCACCTGAGTAGGACCTTCCCTGGCAGGGTCCAGAGGAGAAGGAATAGCATTGCAGGAACAAGAGTTGAAATTCTGCAGGGACCTTGTAGTCCTTTCTCTGCCTGGCTGTCAAGGTGAGAGTAGATATCCCTGTGGGAAAGGCAACAGCACAGAGCCCTTCTCCAGCTTGGGCTGGAATAAGGAGCCTGTGTGTCTGGGCTAGGAGTTAAGCTCTCTTTCCTCTCCTGCCTCTTTTCTGCCCTGTCCTTAGCAGTCAGGGTGTAGAACTACTCCCCTGGAACTGAACCTGACACAAATAACCACCCAGCTCCAGCTGGACTTGTCTTGGATTGAGGAGGGACCACAGCCTGCCGGTCAGGGAGCCAGAAAAGATTCTCTTTGGGTAGCAATCACTCTGCAAACCCTGGAGAGTCTTGGAGGGGAGGGAGGAAGGAGACGGGCAGAAAGACGTTTCCCTCCCTCCCACATCCCCCTAGATGCACCCTCCGAAAGCAGCAATTTAAAGGCACAGTCGCCAGCAGCTGGAGTGGGGTTCCCAGCTTGTCTGAGTTCTGGGGAGGAGCTTGGACTGCTGAGCTGCTGCTTGGGGAGAGCCTGAGGTGTTAGGTCCAGCCTCCAACTCTCCAGGAGGGATGCTTACAAGTAGACAGCCTTGTTACCCCTGTGCCCAACAGCTTTCTTTTCATCCTGGAGCCAAGATGGGGTACTAAAGTAAAGTCCTAATGTTTTTTCTAAGGGAAAAAGGCCCCAGAGGGTCATGGCGGAGCCCCAGGGTATCCTAAAAATGACAGTTTCAGGTCAAATGGAGGTGTAGAGGAGGCTGGCTGCAGGGGCTGCCTTTCTGTACCATCTGGATGGAGGCATGGAAGATGGCGGCCCACAGTCTGCCCCTCTCTTTACCTGCCCAATTCTACCATTCTCCTATCCCCCTTTAACCTTGTAGTTAATTCATTCTCTCCCTTGGTTTCCCTCCCTCAGGCAATCTTTGTGGAGTCTGTCACCTGTTGTAGCTCTCAAAATCCTTCCTCCTCAGTATCCATTCCCAGGCCTGCTTGTGGGAAGGGACGACTGTCCTGGGTGGAGGTAAGGGCCAAGCATGGCCAGGACATTGGCTTTGTAAGCTTTAGAGGAATCACAGGTGGGAAGTGAGGTGGGGAGGACAGTGCTTGAAGGCACACAACCCTGGGTGGAGGAAGAGAGACAGAGTGTGACTTTGCTTTCTGCACATTTGCCCGCGCCATCTAGATGCTTAAGGAGCTCTGTTTTCTCCTGTCTGCCTGTTTGTCCAATTTTCCCCATGTATCATCTAAGGAAGCACAGGGACTTCCCCTAGTGCCTCTCCCTCCCTGCTTTGCTCTCTTCTCTTCCTCTCCCCAAACTTTTCCATCATCCACTGTTTTTTCCATCTCAGTTTTCCTCTGTTCCTTCTCTAGATCTCACCTCCTAAGTTTGTGTCCCCCTTTCTTTCCCCTCTCTTTCATTGTTTTCATTCTCTAGCTCCCTTGTATCTTCAGTCTCTCACACTTTCCTCCTTAATATAGCAGTGAAAAACCAAAGACGTTCTTTTCTTTGGTGGAAACTCTCCTACCTGCTTTGCAGAGGTTAAGTATGTGCCGGGCAGGGCTGGGGGGATCAGTGCCACTTTGTACTGATCAATTTGTCACCTGGCTGGCTGTAGTATCTTATCCAGCCTCTCCAGAAAGATATTTGAGAAGATTGAATGCTTTTGCTCGGGGGTGGGGGGGTCCTATTGCCTATATAGAAGGATTAATAACAAGTCACTCATGTGTAGAAGTGGTGCAGCATCTCCCTTTTTTGCTGTGTTATTATTAATGAAGAGGATTTTTTGAAATTACAGATGAAAGCCAAAGAAGAGAATTTTCAGGAATAAAGGCTGAAATATTGATGAGTAAGATGAGCTTTTGGAATTGGGACTGAGAATGCTATATGCTTCAATGCTTATATGGTGGGTAAACGCAAAATACTAACTACCCTAGTAGCATCTTTAGCCACCCTTTCACCTGCTCACCCTTCCCCCTTGTTTCCCTTAAGCATCACATAACCCACTTTCAGGCAGGAGCAGAACCTGGAACCTTTCAAGGCAGAGAAGCAGGCTGGGAAGTTGAGAAAAGTGTTGCACTCATCTCCTTTGTGTAATTTCCCCAGCCTCTGACAACCCTGATCCTGTCCCTTCCCTTGCCCTAACAGTACCCCCACTTCTCTCAGGTAGCAAGACAAGACCCTTAAAATTATCTGGCCATATTTTTATTTCCCTGATTTCTCTAACACTGTCTGTTCTGTCTTCCCAGTCTTGGGCTATTTTCACATGTTGCCTACGAAGTATTCTTCCCTAATCTTACCCATCTGGACTCAGAGTTCTTGTTGCTTTGACAAGCAAGACATATGGAAACACTATCACTGCCCTTAGGTTTGAGTTAGGAGATCCTTTGTGTATTCTCAGGTCCCTCCCCTTCCATCTCCTCAGCATACCACACTCTGATTTCTGTGCCTCTCCCCCACTCTGTCAAGAGCTCCCTGAGAGCAGAGATACATTATCTGCCAAATCCACAGCACAGGATAGGCAATTAGGGAACACTTTTTAAAAGATGCACCCTTGGCACCAAGATCCTCAAGTTTACCACCTATGAGTCACTCTCTGTCAAGTCAGAATGATAAGTTTGACATACAGAGAAAGGACCAGCATGAGGCAGTGGTAATAAGGAGAAATGAGGAAGTCGTTTTTATTCACTTGCCCCTTGGGCCCGTGGCCTCACATTCAGTCATCTGGAATTCTTGGCTAATGGAAGGCATAGTCCCCTGGGGACTGGTCCATTGTTGCAGGTCTCACCTCCTCTGTGCCCCATGGGATCCCTGAGAGCTGAAAGCATGGCAGGGTCAGCTTCCTGGGAGGACAGATTCTTTCTCATGAGAGGCTGCAGCAATGAGCAAATGTCTGGCTGGTCTGATGAAGAGGTACAGCCTTCCTAGGGTGCCCAGGGGCAGACTCTGAATAGAGAAGGAAACAAAAAAGCTAAGGAAGCTGCTGCTTGATATTGGCAGCAATCAGCTGAGATGCTAATTTCAAAATCTGCTGTACTAAAAAGGAAGCCATTTCTCTGAAATGACAGTGGTGGAAGAATCCAAAATTGTGTCCATCCTTGACCTATAACTGCTTTTCCTTCTCACTACCACACTCTGATGCACAAGAATCTCCATGTTATGAAAAGGACTGTATCTTTTCCACCTTGGCAATTGGATGCTACATTGGCATGACAGCTGGCTTCCATACATTGCTGAAGTGGTGTAGAAGTTACAATAAACACCGTTTTCATATTTTTGTGTTGATAAAAGTTACTTCTATAAGTGTAGTTTTGTAAGTACTATCAGTGTAGTTTTGTAAGTGCTAAAAGTGCATTAAACATATTTTCACAAATGTTTAATTCAACAAATAGAAGCTATCAATTTCAGTCTAGTATAGTGAAAATTGCATCTGCACCCTGCTGACAAGCAGACTTCCAGAAACTTCCATGTGTGTAGCATTTCATTATTAGAATGGGTATTGTTTATAAATTCTGTGACTTCTGGGCTACATTTGAAGAGGCAAAATTGGAAAAAGATTTCACTTAACTTCCTGGATCTATTCCAGTAACTGTGGATGCTGTGGTCCTGATGTTGCCCATTTCACTTATTAAAGTAGAGTAGACTGAGACACACCTCAAAAAGTAGGCTGTATTCACAATCAGAGAAAACTCTCAGGCTTAAGGAAATTTCGAAAACCATGGGATAGGAAGTTGAAAGGGGGTGTTGTATGGAAATAAAAGACAGACACCTTTGAAGAAATCTGCTGCTGCTGATCAGAGTATTTGTTAGATCTTCAAGGAACATGACTGCATCATCTTTCTGTATGTGCGATTTCCCTTTCAGAGTCATTTTTAACTTTCAAGGATGTGATAGTTTACTTGACAGTAGGAGCTCCACTTGGTGCTTGGGAGCATTGGCAGCAGAGGCAGGAGGCCGATTAGCCCTCCAGATATTGGAAGATGAGGCAGAGAGTGTGGCAGAGTATAGTATCAGAGATTCTGGGAATCTCGCAGTGCTAGATTCAGGTGGTGCAAGGGAGAACAAAATTGTATATGTTAGAAATATTCACACAAGCTTTGGAGAGTGACTGGTTCAAGTTTGATGCTTCAAAGATTTGACCCGCATTTCTTGAAACATTTCAGGCATGGACTTTGCAGGGATAGTGTGGGATTATAACTTCTGGTAGGCCTGTGGAGAGGTTAACTGAGATCCTTTCAGTCTTCAATGACAGGGCAGCTCTCAGCACCAGAACAACATCGGGGGCAACCCCTGCCTTTGTTGCTGGCTTCTGTATTCAGTATCCAGGATAGAGCAGAGTGGTAGTGCTCTAGCTAGAGAAAATGTATTGAGTAACACTGAGGTGTGCATTGTTTCTCCCCTGCTACATCCTTAGAATCATCAGTCACTCCATTAGTCACTGAAGGGCAATTTACTAGCTGTGCAAAAGTTTCATTAAGGTTTCCCACAGAGTTTGCATTGATTCTCCTCAACTCTTGGCTTTTGTAACTCTTCCACATTCTTGTTCAGAGTTGATAGGACCATGCCACGACTCCTCAAAGCTAAATTTTCCTTTTGTTTGTGGCTATGCTTGTGAATTTCTTATTTCACTCATTTGGACATTGTTGATAATCTGTGGCTGTGTAGAATGAGAAGACCTTACATAGCAAAAGCAACAGAACTTAGAAAAATCAATATTTATTTTATCAAATGGATTTCATTTCTACTAGTTCATGTATGTGATCCACAAAGATGTATTGAGTGTAAATCATATTGCAGATGTTCTAGGTACCAGAGATATAATAGTAAACAAAGCAGATGTCTGTACTCTTGTATAGTGTGTATTTTAGTTGGTTAGTAATATAATTCCTTTCCAAGAGGGTTTCTGCATGGATTGTCAGATCCAGTCCTGAGCACCTCTCATAGCATCTGAGAGGTTACATGTTACAGGGCATAGAAAACAAGCAACTTTTCAGTAGGCGGTAGTGAACTTCATTTCCATCTATTGCAGAATCTGCCTGCTAGTGATGACATAGCTCATCACTCACCAGAAACCCTCCCAAAGTCTTTGTACTCTCTTCAGTAATCCAGCCATAAGCACATTCTCCTCCTTGGGAGAGTTAGGTGAGATTAGCAGCACTGTTCACTGTGGGGCCTCTCTAAGTAGTTTCTGATTGTTTAGGATCGCAGTTCCCTTCCTTTCCCCTCCTTTCCACCTTTATTTTAGATTTTCTTTCTTCCTTTCTTTTTTCATCATGATTTAATTAAATGTCCACTGTGTTAAGTAGGACACCAGACAATGAAGCAAGGAAAACGTTGGTGACTACATAGAGTTATGTACAAAGTTGAATTTGCAGTAGTTACGCCAATAATGTGGATAGAGCTAAGTCTGGAAAATTTATATGCCAAAAAATTAGAAGTTTAATTGAATGAACATTGGATTAGCCTAAGCTTGTACTCTTGTAGGGCTCATCATCTGAGTATGCACATATGTGTGCATGCAGACTAATATACAAATAGTTCCCTCCTTCATAATCTGAAGGTGGTACTCCTGCTGCTAGCAATTATCACCCAAGAGTGACTGACTATTGCTGAAGAATTTAGATTTTGATGAGTAAACTTTTGATTTGTTGCTGTGATTTCTACATATACTGTGCTAATGAAGCCCCATCAGCCACAGTTACTTAGCCAGAATAATTGGAATCCCCAGGTAAGGTGCCAAATTGAACCCCCCTTTTTGTGCCAGGAATGATTACTCATTTTTTGTGACGTTTTACTGCATATGGCCTCAAATAAAAAATTCTAATAAATAACAAGTACTTCAAAAACTCACCAAAGATGCTAATCAGATAACAGGCTACTCCAAACCTCAGCAGGTCACACACATCAGCTTTTGCTGCCACCTACTCCTGCAGTGTCAGCAACATCATCCTTAGACAGTGAGTATTGCTTTGAAAAATCTGACTTCTCTTTTCTACCCATTGTCCGTTTCTTTCTGTAACCTTCACATTGCCTTTCTACCATGTATTACATCCCACGTGTTCTATAATCCCCTCACTTTCCACAGCAGTGTGCCCACTGCTGAGTCAAAGGCAGGTGCTCTTCCACAACTGCAAACCCAGTACAACTAGCTTCAATTATGGTCCAGCTTCAGGAGAGACAAATAGGATGCTGAGGTCTTGATATTTTCAGGCAAGCAGTAGCACAGAGGCAGGAAATCTGCTCAGCTGTATTACCTTAAGCAAAGGGACTTGGGGGACCATGTGTTCTTCATGTATATTGTCAGGTCTATGAAATGGTAAAATGGAATAGAAGAAAACTGTTTAGAAAGCACACTGAGTAGGGATGAACATTTTAGCACTGCAGAGAAGCACCCATTAGGAAATTGGGAGTGAGAGCAGGGTTGTTTGGCTTAGGCAGGTGTGCTAGAAGAAGAGAATTTTCTTTGCTTTTTTCTTTTTCCTTTTCTGTTTTTTTTTTTAATGTCTCTAATATCAACAGAATGTTTGCTGTGAATCCATTGAAAATCAAATAGCAGTTTGCAGCAGTCAGGAGAAAGCTCATGTGCTAAGCCTCGGATTGTCGTGCATCCCTGCATTCTCAGCACTTGGGAGACAGAAGCAGGAGGATAGTATGTTTGAGATCATCCTGGGATACATAGAGAGTATGAGGCCAGTTTTGGCAATGTAGCAAGACTGTTAACAAAGCAAAACATAATAAAAATGCACACAAACAAAACAAAACTCACACACACAAAAAATCACTCCTCTACTACCAGTATGCCAGGATTCAGTCCCCAAGAAGCTTTTAATCAATGCTGAATGTTTGGTGTCTGGCGATTCTTCATTCATGAATCATGCTATAGAATTTAGTCTACTGTAGACTCTA